TATGAATGATATATGTATAGTTATCTACTTTTAAATTTATATATATTAATTATCTACAATTATATCATGTATCATCTTTATACTAAAAATTCTCCATTTCATATAATTAGATATGTTAGTCAATATTATTATTATTATTATTATTATTATTCAATTTAAATCTAAAATAATTAAGATGGAATTCCAAAAAAAAAAAAAAAAAAAGGGGGGAAATGTGGTCAATTCCTTATTACTATACTAAAAATAATAATAAAAAAAATAGAAAAAGACAAGTAATATTGCTCAAGAGGCCATGTCACGAGCCAGATTGTGGGCTTCCTTGACTCCATCAATTTTTTCCCCTTACTTAATAGCACTACTTATATTGTATTAGGCACGTTTGGCGTTGTAGTTGGAAGCAAAAAGAAGAAAAAAAAAAAAAAAAAAAAGGCTTGTGTCAATAGAGTGATACTTTATTATATAAATTGTTTTCTACAATTAAACCTGTTTGGTAATACTTAATTTGTTACAATTAAGCCTAACAGTATCAAACACCCAATTTGTTCTTTAATAAAATGTTAGTATATTTGACAATTACCTTATAAAATAAGGATCGAAATTGTTTTTATAGAAAATAAGTAATAAAAAGACAGAATTGTTTTTTTAAAAAAAAACAATTAATTATAAGGCAACGTATAACAATTTTAAAAATTATAAATTTTTACTTCATTCAAAAATTGTTTAAAGTTAAATTTGATAATAATTAAAAATATTTTTAATAATTAACAAACATATTGAAACCACTAATCACTCTGCTTACATAACTTTTAGTGTTTCGAAAAGTTCTATAGGTGGATGGCACAACATGATGAATTTAGCAATCAATAAAATGTATAGCATAGATAAGTAAAGTACATGGCCAACACGATTGTAATCATGTGTACAACAACAACACATGCCTACCAACTTTTCTATGTAGGGGCCAAAATTTGATATCAATATATATATATATATATATATATATATATATATTCACCCAAATTAAGGGATGATGATATCAGCCTATTTGGCTGTCCCCAAACACTAACGTCCTTGTTTAATTCTTCCCCTCCCAGATTCTCCTTATTCCTAAATCTATGAGAAATGATTCTATCCCCACGTTTGGGATGTGACCATTACTTATTTTCTCTCATTTTCTATCTGGTTTTCCGGAATCAATGTTACAGTTATCTGTCTGGCTACCTAAAGTTGTGTACATCAATGTATCACCTCACCGAGAACAATTAAATATCACAGGAATTTTTTCTCAATACTCAATTTGCTTAGATGCCATTGTTTTATTTTATTTTTTATTTTTTTCATATTTGAAAAATTGAATTGTCATTCGAAGAAATTATTTGTAACAGTTTATCTTATCAACATGATGAACTTTCGTTCATCTAGAAAGTTTAATGAGAACTGTTAACTGCAATCGTGTATGTAATTATAAAAAGACAGTTGCGTTTATGATTAATTGAGAAACCAATCATAATGTGTGCGCGCGCATATGTGAACTATTAAAAAAGAAGAAGAAAAAAACTCATTTGAATAGATTATTTTCTTTCTCTTTTTTATTTATTTTTTATTTTTTATTCTTTCATTTCCTTTCTTTCCTAATTCTTAATATTATGTATTTATAATATAGTGGTTTAAATGGGGTCTCTCCACAACCCAACAGAATTGACAAAAGGTATAAGAGATAAATATAATATTTATTAATTAAACTTTTCAATAGAAATTCAATTATTGATAGTTATATTTTCAAACTCCTAAAACAATATCAAAATCAAAGACTATTTTTTTTATTTTATTACAATTCACTAATACTTATTTTAGTAATAAATAATATTCAACAAGTCAGTGAATATAATTATTGAATATTTTATTTATCTACTAAGATGTATATATATTTCTTTTTATATATTTTCTTGCTAATTAGAGAGACTAAATTATTTATTTTCTTTATATATTTCCTTGCCTAATTAAATATTCTTTTAGACTAAATTATTTATTTTCTTTGTGAAAAATGCTATACTTCACAGATTTTGATTTGTGATTATTTCTTGAATTAGGTGATCCACTTGGTTTCATACTTGGTACCCAAGGGGGAAATTTGTATTACTTTAACTACTACCTATTGATGGGAGAATGCTCATTCTGATTTGGCTGGTTTGTGTATTGTAAAAATAATATTTTTAATATGGAAATATTTTAATATAGAAAAAAGAAAAAATCCGAATATAACTTAATAACATGAAAGAATGACCCCTCCCTCTCTCTCTCTCTTGTGAATAAAACCCCTAATTTTGACCTATTTCTCGTGAATAAGAATCCTAATTTACATAATTTATTTAAAGTTTTTCATAATTAATTGTATTTTGATTTGGTATTTTCTATTCAAGATTAAAATTTAATGAAATACTCAAAAGATATAGAGTAGTTTAAAAATATAGAGAGTGTAGAAGATAATATATATATATATATACACACACACTTGCATATATAATGAAAAATATTAGTAGAGAAAAATAAATTAGAGATAGAGAGAGACGTTATTTCCTTTTTCTTTAATTGACCATTCGGTTATTTCCTTTTTCTTTAATTGACCATTCTATTAGTTTGTTAAAATAGGAAACACAAATGTATAAAAAAATAAAATATAATATGTATTGAAATAGAAGATATTAATGTGTATTTAGCTATGACCACATCAGATTCAAGATTAAATCTCAAAATTTTAAGTCTAATTAAATTTTCTTTTATTAAAAAACTCACAATAAATAGGCAATTTGACTTTTATTGAAACAGTTCTAAACACGTTAATAAATATTTTTTCAAATAGTAATTAAAATTAATTTCTTAAAATAATCACACTAATATATTAATTAAGATAAACAATTGACTAGATTAAATAATGCCGACAATTTACAAAATTTTAACAATAATAAATTAGAAAATTATTTTATAATTCATAATTAGCAAAATTCTAAAATGATCGATAAACATAAAATTGATATAAGGTAAAAGAGATAAATATAATAGTTATTAATTAAACTTTTCGATAGGAATCCAATTATTGGTAGGTGTATTTTCAAACTCATAAAACAATATCACAATCAAGAATATTATTTTTTTTCATTACAATTCACTGATACTTAATTTAAGTAATGAATAATACTCAACAAGTCAATGAATATAATTATTGAATATTTTATCTATCTACTAAGACATATATATATATTTCGTTTTATATATTTTCTTGCTCATTAGAGAGACAAAATTATTTATTTTCTTTATATATTTCCTTATTTAATTAGATTTTTTTTTAGACTAAATTATTTATTTTCTGTACATATTTTCTTATCTAATTAGATTTCTTTTTATTAAAAAACTTATAGTAAATAGGTAATATGAGTTTTATATACACTATTCTAAACACATTAATAATTTTTTTATATTCATAAATAAATATTAAAATACTGAAACGCTTTATATTTTTAATAATAATAATAACGTATATATAGATATAGATTTGGATATAGATATATAAACACGCGCGCGCGCACATATATATATAAAGAGAATTGTACAAAAAGGTAAATAATAAAGATTATATACATGTATATACAAACGAGAAAGAAAATAAAAACGTAAGAATTTGCTAATTTAATCCTAAAATATTAAATTTTAAAGTTTTATAAAAATAAAAAATATATATTAATTATACATTTTATGATTAATTTTTAGGTGTCGTTCTAAAATTGCACACGGACTGCTGCTGGCAGTCCTCAAGTTCAATTGATACCTAAAAGCAATTTAACCCCCACATAATGGGACCAAACAGGTTCAGCCCATGGTCAAATGGACAATATAGTTAGGCGTGTAGTCAGTAAATGTAACATAGCCAACTCATGCACACGTTGGGCTGTCCACTGTCCCTTCAAATCCATTCATCTCTATCTCTTTATATATATATATATATATATAGACACCCACACACTAGTATATTAGTAATATATCGAAGAAATTCAGTGAATGCTTTTTTTTTTTTTTGGGGGGAAGTAAATTCAGTGAATGTTGTTCTGGAGCGTCACAATGTTGTTATACTCCATATGTGTAATGTAAATGCATGATGACATGGTATTTACACATTAATTATAAAATAACACTTGAGCCAAAGCCCCGCACACACACACTACATATGTATATAAATTTTTTAAAAAAAGTTTTGCTTAAAATGTGTATATATATATATATATTGAGATTTGAATTTAGTTTTAAAAGTACCTGAAATTCAATTGTAGACAAATATAGAAATTAAATGTTCAAAATATAAATTATTAAATTTAAATATTTTAAGAAACTATAAATAAAACATAAAAGTATATATATATATATATATATAGCTGTTAAGAGGTCTGTCGATTCAAATTAATGCTCATAGATTTTAGCCAAATTTAGATGGATATTGTGACAATAAGCAGGAAGAATATTGACACTCCGTCTATAGAAAGGTTATTAACTTATTAGAGAAAATAAAGTACACAAGAGGAAATTATATTACTAACTATAGAAATATATATATTTTTAGTAATATACTACATTTTTCATATATATATTTATAAAATTATAATACCGCTCCTGTTAAAATTATTAACAAATTACAATATCACCCCTCACACAATTTTCTATTCTGTTCCTCACTATGGTCTTTTTAATTAATTTTCAATTGGGTGAGGGGTTAAAAATGTATCACGATTATAATTACTTGTCCTTCACGCGCGCGCGTGTGTACTGAAACCGTATATACTAGTGCATATTATTTTATCAATTCTTAAATATAAAATAGATGTATAAAATTTACAACCCGTGACTCGTAATTTTACACCTGTTAATTATTTTTTTCATTAAAAAGGGAATTAAATAAAAAGTATGAAGTGTCGGTCTATCTGTCTTAAATATAGTATAAAAATTCCTACGCCGTGGAACGTTTGTCGGAACAACGAACGCTGAATTGGCGCCCCCTATAAAATCCTACTACTCCCCTCCCCTGCTTTCTCTCTCATCGCCCCTTTTCGTCTTCAAATTTTTCATTCTCTCACTAAAAAAACTGAGAGGTAAGAGATTTTTAGAGAGAGAAGGAGAAAAAAAAAAAAAAATACCAAGAGATCATGGGAGGCTGTGCGACCAAGCCGAAGGTGTTGAATCCCGACGAAGCCCCAGCGCCGCCACCGGAGCCGGTGAAGGAGGAGGCTGTCGCCGTGACGGAGGCTGTTGTGGTGTCGGAGGAGGCGAACGACGAAGTAGCGAAAGAAGAAGGTGGTGTTGTTAAGAAAGACAAAGAGATCAATGATGATGAGATAGTTGAAGAAAATGGAAGCAAGCGTCGATCTCTCAGTCACTTGTTCAAAGAGGTATCAATCATATATATATACACACACATATGCACATCTTAATTACATGGATTATTTAATAATTGCTATGATCGGTGTCTTAGACATCAATCATATATATAAATTCATTATTATTATTTTTTAAAAATGGCGATTTCAGTTATTTGTGTCTATGTTGATTATATTCTAATTTGTGGGATTTTAAATTATATATCAAAATTGCATGACAAGACCATAAGTATTTTGTGTATTTTGTTTGGGATTAGTATTGTTCTTAGAGCCCAAAAAAAAAAAACAACTATTGAATAATTAAGATAGTACAATAACACTGGGTCAAAAAAAAAAAAAATGTAAAATGCAACCAATTTAAACCAAAAATATTCCGTCATTTTCATTTTTATAAATCAAACCTCTTCATTTAATTTAACAGGCCCAAAACTTAAACATGAAAGATTCTGTCCTTTAATTCTGGTACCCAAAAAAAAAAAAAAAAAAAGAAATGAAATCTGGTTATTCTTAGTGGAGGTTAATATAATTTTCGAATTAATAAGGATGACCCATGTAATTATGTTATAATGTATTATTCAAGTCGGTCCATCTATTTATTTATTTAGTTGTGTAGTATTTTGTCGATTTATAAAGATTCTCTTTTCTGCCAAACACAACTTTCTGTGTGTAAAATTGTTTGTTAATCTTTCTTTGATTATAATTTGTAATTAAAAAAATTCGTTAATTGCTATGATTAGAGCCTGTTGCGCTGGATAACCAATGCAATGATTCTTAATATTATTATGTTGGATACTTCTATGGTGACAAACATAGAGGTCTAGTCAGGGCTCCACCACTTGTTTGTTCCTCTTTGTTATGTTTTTCGGTAAGTAGTTCCTCTTTGTAATTGTCTCCCAGTATCTTCCTATGGTTAATTCTTATTCTTTATGAAAAGTTTAATACTAGTATTATTTATGTCCGTCCGCCTTTTGTTGTTTCCTCTCTCTTGATCCCTTGGAGAGTGTGACGTGTCTTTTCCCGACGACCCAGAAAAGTATACGAGAGAGGGGTGACCTTTAACAAAAAAAAAATGTTATGGGGTGGGGTGGGGGAGGGCAATAGCTGAGTTTAGATAATCAAATAATTTTGTAAGTATATAATTCAAAAAAGAAAAATTAGTGGGTATAATAGCAAAAAAAATAAAAATAAAAATAAAAATAAAAATTCAGTGGGAGACATTTGCCACCACGGAGTCCACCACAGGTCCGTGCCTGACTGCAAGAGATTTCTAAAATGGGGTTGTTTTGTTGCAGCCACCTTCCCATATAAGAGGTGATTATACCAAAGAGTGATATTTATTTGGTCATTATTTTACGGAGAAGGTTCTTCGTTGAATTCATCTGTCCTTTAACACTAGAGTAGGCCCTTTGTGTTAGCCATTCAGTCTTTCGTAGATGCTGATTTGGAACACAGTTTGAAATAATGTGTCACTCAGCATTTGAATAAGCCATTTGTAAACAATTGTTTTGAGTTAAAAACTTAAAACATGTACGGAGTATTAATGCTGTGAAAAATATTTTAGCAGAAGGGAAAATAGTCGTAATTGGGAAATTTTCATGGAGGGCGGAAACCTTACATTTTTTTTTCGGTAGTGAATGTTAACTTTTAGGTCCTAGATCTGGGATTCCTTGAATATTTGATTTTGTACTTGATGAGTCACTTCTGCAACTTTCAGCATGGGGTGCCCTGGTGGGCACCATTCAATGCCAAAGTGATGGTGTAGGATGCACAACAAATTTCCCCCGAGTACAATCTGAGATCTTCTGCTTGTCAGATATGATCAAATGGGGTCTCTTGTTTGGGATCTGTTATATTTGTCGGTGATGATTGTTGAACTCTCACTAATCTCCCTAATACTCCTTTTCTTCTCTTGCATTTATCTTTTGCGTTGTTAAGTATAAATCTTTCCCTTGTGAGGTTGTGTTGTGCCCTTTCTGATTAGCAAGCAAAGCATTTTTAATTTCACAACACTTACTATTGTAGTCATCTAAGTAAAGCGTTGTCTAGGTAATTAGTTTTCAAAATTGGCAAGTCTAATTATTTCTTAACTTAGAAAATTTTTTAGTTGAATGATCAGATGATTGAAGCCATTAACTTGACATTTTGGACATTTAGTATTTTAGCTGTAATTTGCAAATATTAATTTTCTGCAGAATGAAAGCAAGGACTCAACTGAAAATGCCAAGACAACATTGGAGCCTGTAAAACAAGAACAACCATCAGCAACTGAGAAGGCTATTGACGTATCCGAAACCAAACCAATTGAAGCTGAAAAGGCCGAATCTGTGGTGAAGGAGCCCACAACACCTGTTTTTGTCGATGCTCCTTCAAAGGCCGATATAGAGGAGGAAGCAATAGAAGCTGTAACAACGGCAGAGCCATCTTCCCAGAAAGCAATAGAAGTTGCACCAACTACCGAAATAGCACCAACGATAGAGCCCTCTGCCGAGAAAGCAATTGATGCTACACAGACCCTAAAACCAGAAATGTTACCTAGAGAAACAGTGATAGAAGAAGAGAAACTAGCTACAGAGACCCAAAAACCTGAAATGAAGAATATAGAAGAAGAGATTTCAGCTACAGAGACTCAAAAACATGAAGTGTTGCCCGTGGAAAAGAAAACAGAAGAAGAGAAAGTCACTACAGAGATCCAAACACCTGAAATATTGGCCGAGGAAAAGAAAACAGAGGAAGAGAAACCTGACACCCTTGAGGAGAAGGGAAAGGAAGAGAAGTGAAAAGTCTCTGAGAATGCAAAAGTTTGAATTAGGAGGCTTTAATTATGATGATGGCTAGCTAGAAAAACCACAATTGCCTGTTTCAGTGAAAGCTGTTAGAAGAAGAGGATGATGAATTTCACAACTGGTTCCTGGGAGTTACTATGAGTGAACATGTTCTATTTGTTTATTATTCAATTTCATTTTCATGTCTATTATGATGCCAATCATTTTTTTTATTTTTATTTTTATTTTTTTATTTTTGGTGCAGTTGTGGACATATTGCATCATATAATGCCTTTGTCTGTTTGACATGCTCTTCTTGATGTTGTGTTTTTTCTATAATCTTTTGAATGTAAATTGCAAAACAACAATCAATTTTGAAGAGAAACAGCTAGCAAAATAAAAATAAATTGGCAAGGTATCCAATGACTTAATTGACCTAACCAATCAAAATTGACCCACAGGTTATTTATAGACCAAATTTCATTGTTCAAGGATCAGTATTACAAGAAGAAAACAGATTTTAAAAAAAAAAAATTGTTTGTGGTCAAATTGAACTCGGATTGAGTTGATTTTTTTCTGTTATCTAATTTTTAGTGATTAGATTTTATTCCTATATTTTCATGATTCTTAAAGATATTGTTGCTGATTTTAGGAAAATATACTTTCTGCTTTTACCATTAACACCTATAATATAAAAAAATCATCTTGTTTCTTATCGAATTTCATTCCATATTTTAAACTTGAATTTTTTCTTATTCAAGTAAAATTAAATTCAAGTAAAATCATGCTGCAATTGGCAAAACCTAATCTAACAAGTCACCTTTCAATTTATGTGATAATTTCTAAAAGAAAAAAAGAAAAGAAGAGTATATTATGCTATTATCATGGGTTAAAGACAACCATGTACAATTGAGACCCTCAAATCAAACTAAAAATACTTTATTACTCTTTGACTTATTTAAATAATTAATTTACCATTTTTACCTTTTCAAATCATATTAATTGGCAAAACTTTTTCTCCACACCACAATCTGAAATTAGGTTTCGAAGTTGTATATGAATTTAAAATAGATCATTTTAGCTTCGGAAAGATAACATTTTTTCTTCCTTTTTCTCTTGCCTACCCATGGATGCAGCAGACTTGCGAAAATAGTAGTCTACGCACATCCTGAATTTTTAACATCACTAGGGCCAAACCTGAGGGTGTCAGTGTAATTTATTCTAGAAAAAAATAAATAAAAAAAATGACGTCTACGGTCTACCAAAAAGTTTATATAATTTTCCATTTTAATATATTGCAGCATTTCCACAAATCAACCCTCGCATTTCTATCGAGAGAGAGAGAGAGAGAGAGAGCTGCGGCTTATTATTTGTTTACATGAATGAACGCAGCGCTGAAAGTGGTTTGATACTCGGCAAAATTTTCCGACACCACAAGACAAATCTCATTTCACGGAGCAATAGCCCCAAATCTATAGAACCACACATACATATATATACACACACTCACGGATTTATCATTATATCAGATTAGAGCTTTCAATATATCTATCAGTAATGCAAGTATTACCCAGATGGCGATACGTTTTGATACTCAAGAACTCGTTCACTCCATCTCCATCAACATCCACATCGTCAACCCATTTGGCTTCATTTCATTCCACTCCCATTACCTTCGAAAAATGGAAAAGCAAATGGAAATCGGTGACTCTCTCTCTCTATATGCATATTTTTGGTGTTTCTGTATTTGTTGTATACAAAGCTTATATCTTTTCTGTGTTTTGTACTCCAGGGTGGTTGTATAAAGAACAAAAGGGTTTTCTTTTGGTGTCTAATTATGGATCTAGTTTACATGCTTTATAAAATTTCTTAGATTTTCTATTTTATTTTTTAAATTTGATTATGGTTGTATTATATCCTTGGAATCAAATCTGATTTTTATCTGATGGCATTCTTCTATCGACCTTTCCTTTTTCTTCCCTCTACAAAAATTATTTGTAATTGGTGTCTATAGATAAATATGGAGGAACAAATGAGAAAATTTTGCTTCGTTATTAGAACATAGAGGAATTGCTAGAATTTGTGAACTGCTTAAGAACTGTGTCCGTTACTATTAAATTTTTTTAATAGTGAGTACGCTACTATTATTTGTTACAGTGTTCATTTTTGAACCTTTTTCTTTTTGGAATAAGAAATTTTTTCAGATGATTAGCTTGGAATGTTCCTAGAATCTATCATCCGGAAACTCTTTGAAAAATCTTATTTTTTCTGAAATTGCAAAGAGCATTTTATTCGCCACTTTTTGCTCGATTCGGGAGGAGTGGAGCAAAAGAATATTTGAGGATATTTCAGGGAGTATGAACTCTATCAAGAAAGAGAGTTTACCTACACTTGATTATCTCAATTTGGATTGGTGTTCACAAATTTCCGAGAATTGAGTCTTTGGCTTCTTAGCATAGCCTTGTGTCTAGGCCTTGGATTCCTCCACTTGAGAGTTCAATTATGGTAATTTTGATGGTGGCTTTAAGACCTCTTGGACCATTCAAGAACATGGTACAGCTGAAAGATTGTTACGTTTAAATCTTTTCTGACTTGCCTTTGAGTTTGGAAGAAGCTTGTAGACACCTATTCAAATTGGAGGAAAATACAAGGAACTTTCTAATCATTTATGCAGAAATTGTTACCTGTAATGTCATCAGGGAGGTTGATGCTGTCCCTTGACTTTGTCTTCGTCATGGTTTGTTATGTTTTTGTTTGTCAATTGTTTTTCATATTTTTTATTTTCTCCCCACCGCCACCACCAATCTCCCTTTGCTTGGTGCACTGCAATTGTAAAATGCTCATACTGCATTCTACATTCTTTAGTTTAGAATTCATCTTTTCTGAAAAGTAGAAATGAAGAATGGTGAAAGCTTTATACAGCTTCTTTAGAGTTTAGACGGAAAGTTGCTTTTATTCGTAAAGAAGCTATTATAGCTGCCATTGGTCTAACTAGGTGGGGTGCTAAATATAGTGTTTGTTTTACTTGGGTAGGCATGTGTTGTGTGGCTACTTGACGTATTTTGGATGAGGATAATTCGATGTATATTTTAAGATTCTCTTTTTTTCCCCAAGTAAAATTATAATATTTCTGTATGAAAAAATTGGAAATAGCATGTAGTTTGGTCATCATTTTTTAAATTTCCTAAGCTTCTCAGTTTTCCTAGATCTATTTTATTTAACTGCTGTAATCAATGAGAAATAATTTTATATTAATTTCAGTTATGATAATGTTTCATGATAATAGTTACAAAATGTATTTTCAGGAGGTAAGAAGAGAGCAGCAGCCATCTAAGGTATACAGGGTTTTCTTAATTCTGGAGATCTATCCAACATATTAAATTAATCTTTGCCTGCAATAGATATATGAGGTACTATTTGTATCATGTGTGCAATTATTCTGAAAAATACTGTGGTGTTCCCCTTTTTCTTGTCAACATTCATTAAGTTTGTACTTTTATAGAATTTCCTCTTTTCTTATGTGGAGTTTTCTGCAATCTTTACTTGGCTATAATTACTTGGTCAACACTACGAATGAAAAGACTTGCTTAAATTATTGTAATATTGGGTATGCCATAAAGCTAACTACTAAAGTCAAACTCTTGTCTGTGGCACCGATGCTCAAGCAAAATTGCTGAACAAGCAACGACCCTCGAGTCACAAAGTAGCTTTTGTCGAAATCTTTGGTTTGAAATCCTTCTCGAATTTAACAGAAAGTTAAACTGAAGTTTCATTGTCTAATCTCAGATGTATATCGTTGCATGCACAATCATGTGGTTGGTAATGAAGACATTAGACGTCTAATGTAATGTTCAAAATCTTAAAATGGAACTTTTTGGCAGTGAAAAGCAGTAGCATTGGTAAATTTTTTTGCGTGAAATCTGCTGATAATGAATTTGCTGTTTTCGGTCGTTTTGTATCATTCAATGATGATAATGAGGAGCATCCCTTTAAAAGAAAAAGTCATCATCCTAAAGTTTCTTTGATGATCTAACAGCATTATTGAATCTAAACAATTTCAGAGAGTCAAAATCTGGCACTCCAAAATTCACGGGAGGCACTAATTAAAGGGTAAATTTTACTTACCTTCCTTTGATTTGTTACTATCCTATATAGACCCTCTACGCTTCATAATTTTATTTACCTCTCCTATTAGCGTCCAACTTGGTAACGGTAATGCGTTATTTTTTTCGTTTTGCCCATGAATTAATATTGTAATTCCAAATATTAGAAGGGCAAAATTGACCTTCTATCAATTTTCTCCTGCTGACATCAGCAGAATCCGTCAGGTGTCTAATGGTAGGGAAATCTTGTTACATTAAGGAGAACCTCAAGAATTATGAAAGTAGAGGGAATCTATGTGGTATATTGACTCCTATAAGTAGAATTTACCCTTGATTAAATTGGTCTAAAAAGATCCTAATTAATCTTAAAAATTTGGTTAATATAACATCTCGAAACTTGAATTGAATAAATGTTTTGGGATATATCTAATCTTAATTATGAAATTTCAAATTTGAATATTATTTAATTGGTAATGATCGGTTAGGAAACTTAGATGTTGTTTTTGGTTTATAGATCAAATTTGTCTTCATTTGATCAAAGCACTCTATAATGTTATGATCAATAACTTTGTATATCAAATTATTGATTGGTGACAAGTCCCGTGTTACCGAGTGGTTTGGTAACTTCCCGTGTCTGGGAGCCCGAGCCTTGCACCATCCCCTCTTAACAAATAACTACTAACCCCTAACATTCTTTAAAAACGAATAAAAATAATATTGATTGGTGTCCATCTATTGAAATTGTTTTTTTGCTTGAAATCTGCTGATAATGAATTTACTGTTTTTTGGTGGTTTTGTATCATTCAATGATGATAATGAGGAGCATCCCTTTAAAAGAAAAAGTTATCATCGTAAGGTTTCTTTGATGATCTAACAGCATTACTGAATTTACCTTTTTAGGGTACATTCTGGGTCTTTGGGCATCGAACCTGAAATTGATTTGCTCCATTGGTGTTTTATGTATACTATTATGTACAAATTCTTATTCCTAAAGAAACCATTACAGAAAATAATGGCCACTGTTATAGCTGATATTAAAATTTCTAAACTAAGGAAATTTCATAAAATTTTAAAACCAATCCCTTATTATTATTAGTTCTGATGATGCCAATACATTACTGTGATGAAGTTATTCAAGCCTGTAAATATAACTTCAAATGCTATATGGACTTTAATGGATCCATTCCTCTTTTTTTTTTTTTCTTTTTTTTTCCCCTGCTTTTCTTCTAGGTGTCTCTGACTTTGTCGATATTGGATTCAGAGTTATATCAAGTATGCAACAAGGGAAAAACGTGCCGATGCAAAGAAAGCTCTGAAAGATCTCCTCTACAATTACGGGTCAACCACATTTCCATTTCAGGTAGATCTTTCCTTAATCCAACTTTGTAGAAAACCCACGTGATGACCTGCTAGGGGTGCACACGGTTCAGTTTAGAAAAATTTGGAACCAAACCGGTCCCAACGGTTCCTCAAATTTGGAACTGAACCGTGAGGTCCAATGGAACCGAACCAAAGCGAATCATGAGGGACCGGTTCGGTTCGGTTCGGTTTGGTTTGATTCCAGGGTTCTCACTGTGCGTGAGGCTCTATGGGCTCACTTGCATTATCTCTCACCACGCTTTGCTTCTGCTGGACATAAGGCTTCTGAATCAAAGGTTTGGACCTGGAAGAGGATGGGTTTGAAGAGCCGACATATAGGGCTGATTTGGGGGATTTGGTGAGAGATTTGGGCCGTGAAGAGGGGTGTTTGAAGAAGAAGAATTTGAGAGGAAGAAGCGTAGAGAACCTCTCCAGGCTTCAATAGACATAGAGGAGTTGGTTCAGGTTATGGCGTTGAGATCTTGCAACGGACTCCTTAGGTTCTGCTTTTTCTTGGTTGAGTCGATTATATTCAAATTGGCCTGAGCTGGAGAAGACAGGAAGACTTGTGTATGTTCTCCTTCTTCATCTTCTTCGACAATGACCTGAGAGAAGTGACGGTGGTGGTTGCCAGCAGCGACAACCTTTTCACCTCAGAGAGGGAAAGAGAGATGTGGGTGCGGCTGAGATGATGAAATCAGAAGAAAGTAGGAACTTAGGATTAAGAAATAAAATTATAAAAAATATATTTTATATTGGATATATTATATAATATATAAAATATTATATATATATATATATATATAATAAACAGTTTGGTTCGGTCCTGTAGGATCTCAAATCGGAACCAAACCGTAATTCTATGGTTCCATTATTTTGGAACTATGACCTGGCCAAACCATTAGAAAACCAGACTGAATTGTCTGGTCCGGTTTGGTTTTTTGGTTCCACTGGTTTTTTGGCACCCCTATAACCTGCTTGGAATATCTATGAAGTTAAGCTATTCCTTTGTTATTTTCTAATTTTATGATGTGTGTGGTGTGGTTGTGCCCCATTTTAGCTTCTTATTTTAATTTGATACTGAATTTGTTAAAGTCTTTAATGAAAAATATGGTCAACAATTAATTGCACTGATAGCAGGAACATTAAATCATATTTTTTTTTTCTTTATTTCATTTTATTTTATGTGGTGATGGTGTAGGGGAGGGGGTCTGTTTAGTTCTCATATACATTTACTCAAAATATTAAAGAGTTCAAGAGAACACATATATGTGAAAAATGATCAAAATTTTTAAATAGGAAAAATTAATATGTTAGGGTTGTTTTTCTATCTGAAGCCAAAACCATATAACTTACCAACTTATGCTTGAGTTTTGGCATAACTTTCAGCATTTCTCAATTATCTGACATAATACTGAAGTAAGGTTTGTATTTCAAATATCTCACATATTATTCAATACCATTTGTTATATATGAATATTTGATCTTTATTCAGATCTTGGCCTTACTATTTAGGGTCCAGTGTGAAATCCTTCTAAATTCTATTTTATTGATGACAAAAACCTATATTTGCGCAATGTCTCTAGTAGTCACTTAAAATTTATTATATAAAATCAAATCTTTTGGGTCACTACTGTTACGGGCATATATGCACTTTATTTGGTTAGAGCATGTGCCTCAGAAGTTTTATGGTTTCCCAGGGTGATGATACATGGGGAGCGAACGGAACAAACAGCTGGGATGCATCAGAAGCGGATCTTTCAGACAGTTATCGTAAGGAAGCTAAAGCAAATTCTTCTGCTCGTCGTTCTAGGAGGTCTCAGCTGAGGAGAATGAAACGTGAGATTGTGCTACCTTTTACTCATCTTATTTTCTGTTTTTCCCTTAAATTATTTGTTTGTTGTGTCTGTATTTAAAGCAAAAATGTACTTTCTACATTCTCCAACTTTACCACAGCAGTCTTTACACTGAACAACTAGTGATGTTTCGAGCTGCAAATGAACTGGATCAACTCTATAATTGCTTCGTTCATGTTCGTTTGTTATATAAATGAGCCGAGTTTGAATGAAATTTTCAAGCTCATGAAGTAAAGGAGCCGAGTCCAAACAACCTTTGACTTGACTCATGAACGGACGTGTGCAAATTTAGACTCGTGAACATGGCCAATTTATATACGCTTGTTTGGGATTATAACCAAATTTTCTTTTTATCAATCTTACTTCCATCTCAAGCAGAGTCAAGTTTGAGTTCGATATTAGCTAAATGAGTTAGATGAGTCAAGTTCAGTTTTGCGAGCAATGTTTTAGTTGAGCTCAAAAAATCATACCGATGCTCAACTTTAGCTTGAGCTCGAGCTTGAATAGCTATTTGATTGGTCGAGCTGAGTTCAAATGGCCAGATTGTTGACCTGATTCCCTAGTGATGTTAAAAACCAGGATGTGTAGACTATCATCGTAAGTCTGCTGGATCCATGGGTAGGCAAGAGACAACCTGGCGAACTGCAATATCTTAGTTTCCAAAGTAAAAGAAAGAAAAAGCGTTATCTTTCTGATGCTAGAATGATTTATTTTAAATTTATATACAACTTCGAAACCTGAATTGAGTCATGTTTTAAGTTGAAATAATAATGATAGTGTTGCTTTCTTTGTCCCACTCGTGGTTTAGGGCAAAATATGATGGTGTGGCTTTTTTAAGCCGTTTACAGATTATTTTATAGGTCTTTGAGATCTGTCGCCACTGTCAACATTCAACTAATCATTGACCTTTTATTGATGATTTCCTTGGGCATGGACTTTTTTTTTTTTTAAATGAATTTGATGAATAGTTGTTAAGTTATTGACTACAAAATATGTTATGAAGATTCGTTGTGATGAATGCAATGTCTGCTATTGACTTTTTGCCAATTTTCTTAACAAGGCTACAACCAATTGCACATAATGCGACCTGCCTTATCTCAACCTAAAATTTGGTCGGGTTCCGGCAATCCAACCTAATGATATATATTTTTGTTTCGATACAATTTTAAATATTTCCTTTCTGTGTATTCAGCAACCAAGATGTATTTAGAAGGTTGTAACAGAAAGTAAGGATGACAACATGAGATCTATGACTCATTTAGAAGTCTAAAGACAAATCCGAATCTCACTAACCCATTTTTTCATTCTTTACGAAGTTCAGCAGCCCTGTCGTCACTGTCCATGCCTCGGTTGCTACACAGGGAGTATATTGGGCGTGGATCCCTGGTATTAATGGGAGATTCGGAAGTATATCATTTTATTGGGTGCGTTGCAGAGGAGATATGCTCTGGTTTCATTGGAAAGATATTAATTGCATTAAGTTTTAATGGTTATTTTGACTTTGGACAACTTGGAAAGGAGGGGTTTCTTGTGCAAAGAGAGCAGACCACCAATCACCTTCTACTTTATTGTGACCTACTTTATGTTGACACGGTTTCACATGGTCACATGCGTAGGTTGTGGCATGTGTCTGACGTTTCAGATTTATAAAATCCACAACCCCAACAACATGGGAACAAAGCTAGATGTTCATATTATTTAATATTTTTCTTAAATTTTATGAAGTGAAAATAATGTTTCCACTTGTTTGAAGCAAAATGAACATAAGGAAGGGGTTTTACACATGTTTATAAAGTACATTTGAACTATTGGATGCTTCTTAAATCTAATTCTGACCATAGGTGTTGGACACATCCCATTCATATGTTCGATTGCCCTTTGTCCGACACAAGTACCTCACACCTTTTTTAATAGTTTATCTAACATAGAATATGAAGTTCACGTGATTTGTGATGTATAGTATTTTTGTTATTTTTAGTGCATTGGATTTGTCCAGGGCAGTGGACCTCATGGATATTTAGATGGGAGGTTGCCTGTTTGGCAGCATCGGCAAGGCTTGACAGTTTGCACCTTTCTGCCTCAGGTGGTGTATTGAAAGGAGAAAAAAAAAAAAAAAAAATGCACACTTTGATGATGTAGCCTATGGTCCAGAGGCTGAAGAATTTTATTCTTGACAATTCATTTTATAATAATGAGGCATTTTCCATATTCTTAACTCTTCTCTTAGAATTTTTGGGTGACTTGAGTTAAATAACTGGAATCTAGTTTTTGACTCCAGTTTATGTTGTGTAAGCTAGTTTAAGATCCCTAGCCCATTGGGCTGGACTTTGATTGTGTAGCTTGAGTTGAGACTCGGTTCTGTTGGGCTTGGGCTGAATTTGTTAGACCCATGATTGACCTTTAACTTTACCCACTTAAGTTGTAGCCGTACTTAATGACATGCACCATCCACGTATATGCTCGCTTAATTTACACAGAAAGATAAAAAACAAAAGAGAGATTATTTGACTTGAGCGCATTTTGTAATCATTTATAGATGCAAAGTTTTATCTTTATCGTAAATGCTTGCGTGCATTCCATTCTTAACTTGACACATTGATGTTTGCCTTTGTTCCATGTTCAGGTAAGATTAAAAGAGCTGAATTCTATGGAGATTATAATGAACATCCTGAGAAATGTTTCAAAGCAAAGTTTGGGAGTCGATGCTATACCTGGTCTTATAGTCAATGGGAGGGGCATTCTTTTGACAGCTCAGCATCTGGTTTTGAGTGGAGAGACGACTCAAATAGGACTAACAGTAGAAGTAAAGAATGGAAGAATCCAAGTGATACGGAGTCTGATGATGACTGTACTGTTGTAGGCTCATGTTCTGATAGAACTATACTTGGTCTGCCCCCAAGAGGTCCTTTGAAGATTGAAGATGTGAAAAATGCGTAAGCCCTACTTTTAAGTATAAATTAGACTACCCAACAAAGAAATTTAAGCATAAAGTAGACATTTTACAAGATTGCTTATACACATATTCCAGTTATATGGATCTTCCAAACTCCATCAAAATAACTTGTCTGAATGCTCTAATCTTGCAGTTTCCGCTTATCAGCTTTAAAGTGGCATCCTGATAAACATCAAGGCCCTTCACAGGTCAGTTTGGATGACTTCTGATTTCCTCTTTTCTGTGTTTGCTAAGTTGTTTTGGGTAATGCAGATATACAAAGATTCATTGAATTGCCAAAGTCCTTTGGGTAATGAGAGTATATAAAGATTAAATAAATCATACAGTTGTCTATTAGTGCCATCTACTTGTTACTTGTTTGCCCTATTTAGTGTTTTTGTTCCGCCAAACTATTTGGTAGAATCATGGCCTTAACATCTCCCAGTTAGTTATTATTATCATCCCTCATTACATTTGGGCCATGGATTATACATGAGCTTTCTGGTTACTTATTGGCCATGGCCTGTGCAATTGGCTGGACAGAAAGGATCCAGATTTATGGGATTCCGTTTCCACCATTAACTAATATGGTCACTTATCTCTCATCCACTCTCTCCAGTTTAACTTGCAAAGACTGTTTGTATAACCGTTGGGATTAACACTGGGTAAACCTCAGTTGATTCAAATCGTCTTTTAGATTACTGGCAATGTTTCTATTGGATGTATCAACTGTAGGGTAGTGTCTAAACTTTGATTTTCGGTTATCAATTTCTTAGGGAAGCTGAAAGTTTTGTTTTTTGTTGCACTTGAAATTGCTATTGATTCATTTCATTTTTTGTTCACCAAACTGCTGCTTTCGGAGGATTGGTTTTTATGTTTTACATGGTTGTATTAATCGGTTGACAAGATTGACCGAATCATTTTAGTAACTGTTTTATTTATTTTTATAACAATTAGATTTATTCCCTTTTTTATTTTTCTTTTTGGTCTAGAAACTCTTTCTGCACTGTGTTTTAATATTATTGATATCCTAACTAAGATATCTACGAATGTCTGCAGGCAATGGCAGAAGAGAAATTCAAAATTTGTGCTAATGCATACAAGTCACTGTGCAATGCATTTTCGTCAGTTTGAGCTCTAAACTACTACTCCCAAGTACCATTCTAGTTCATACACTTCCCAAGGCTTGTCCCTTCAAACAATAGAGAAGAGTAAAATCCATTTTTTTTCCCTTCAAATAATTTAGTTTTTATACTGTGGAGCCAATAGTAGATGATACTATGTATTGGAATTATTTATTTATTTACATGGAAAAGAACATCAAAGATGATATTTATCTGTTCAAATATATGCTTTTTCTTGCGCAGTGGTATTAGCAATTCAAATAGGGTTGATCCATAGAACAGTTATATCATCATCTCCAAAGCTTTAATGGAGATATGAACAAAAAATGAACTATTTTCTTTGCCTGAGTAGTGTTACTATGATGTTTTCGTGTCTAACTAGTATTCTCCGAACAATCACAATTGTCTATTCATGTGAAAATCCCTTTCGGAGCTGCGCATTCACACCAGAGAAAAATTTGCGTGTGGAATGAATTTTAATCAATTGTTTAAGCGTGACACAAAATTTTTGGCATCCATCTTACGAGGGCTGTTTTACTGGAATGGGTGACCGAGGACAGTTGAGATGTTTATGCTATTAGGTCAGACTATTCGACTTCACTTTTTACTTTGAATAGCATTACTAGTAGGATTATGCACACATGGGGAACAAGTTTATGTGAATCCTTTCGATAAATGACATTTTCATTTTCCACATCTTCAAAGCAACTTTGTAAAATGTTAGATTCAAATTTTAAAATGGATCAAATATGGATCCTCTCTTGAAATGACATCATTAATCTTGTTTTGATTCTAGGAATTGATTATGTAACCATTCACCGGCCCTTTGGAATTACAGGAAAAATCGGATTTGTTGCTTCAAAGAGAGTCAAACACAAGACCTCTTACGTCCAGCCCCAGAACCAACCATTGGAACTACCCGGTATAAGCTCAACTACGTTTGAGAGCACTAATTCTTTTTTTTCTTAAACTGGTAATGGTTAGTAGTTACGGGACGGGACGAGAATCAAACTTGGTGGGACACTAAAAACATGACCCTTTACCACTGGAACACATGTTTGAGAGAACCAATTCCAAACTCCCAAAAGGAAGGTAAAAGAAATTGACCTTGTATAATGGTCTAAATGGAGCATGTATGTATGGCATGGACGGCCACCTATCCCAAACTTGTTTCATGAAGAGTGGAGGCCGGTTCGGTCCGTTTTGCATACAATTTTAAATGTAGTTAACTTTATTATGATTAGGAATCCAAATTATTATGAAAATAAGGGGGCGGAAGAATTATTATATATTTTAATTGCAAAAGTGAAGCAAGAATGAAAAAGACAACGACACTATCTGATGTTTATAAGTCAATTTTGCTATCATAAGCATATACGGAGTACTATTTTTCTCTCACACTTTTTTAACTAAAGAAATTGCACCAACTTGGGGAGAACTGAGAAGTAAATGTACTGTAATTTCAAAATTAACAGAGGAGTGTTGTGTAATTATCTTAGTCAAACGAAAACTAGGACAGTCATTGGAGACGTTGGATTCTAAAAGAGAGAGAGAGAGAGAAAAGGGTGTCATTGTACTTTACTGCAACATGGTCAGTACTTGCAGCAGTCGAGGTCGTTAATTGATTGAAAACACTAGTAACTAAACATAAATACAACGTCTATTATTTCACTATTTCAAAATTTATTATTATTATTTTTTTAACGACACTTTTTCAAAATTCAAATCCAATCTGTTATGATATGTATAAAATAACACAATCAAAGTACTCGTATTATTTTTTTAAAAAGGAAAAATAGTTTCTATCAAATTACCCAAAAATAAATTTGAGTTAAGAATTATAACCTGAATTTTGGCCCCATTGAATTTGAGTGATTAGAGCATGAATTTGGAGATTCAAAAAACCAAAAATCAATAAATAAATAAGCCCACAAATACACAAACAAATTTCCATCTAAACATTCCCAAAATGAATCAACCAAAATATGAATGTAATGAGTCAAAAAGATACAAAAAGGATTGAACAGTACTAGAAACAAAGAAGAACAACAGAGGAAGAGACCATGAACCCATAGACCAAAATCAAGAACCCAAAATGCAAAGCCCAATTCCTCTTAAACTTACCAAAGTAACTCTCCGGTGGCTCTTGATAGTGTATCTCAAACTCCTCCCCCAAAACACCACCACCGTCACCATCACCACCGCCGCCGCCGAGTCTCATCTTGATCTGCCTCAACCTCTCCGTGGCCAATCCAAGGGTGAGCTTGTGACACCTCCTCTGGTACTTGAACCCATTGATGCACCTGAGGGTCTGGGCCACCGAAACGTAGAAGATGAGGTGGGCAAGGGAGAGGAGCCCAATGGGGACCCAGCAGTGGCGGCACTGGAGGCGGGGGGACTGGACATGGGCCGCGAAAACCAGGCCCAGGAAGAGGAAGAAGAGCTGGAACAGCTTCCACAGCTCCTTCTTCTGTAGGTCCACGGCCCGCTTCTTCTCTAGGGTTTTCTCGAAGTGGAGCTGGATTATGGTGTTCAGTGCTTGAAGGGCCGTCTCTTTTGAGATCACATTGTGCTGCTGCTGCTGGTGGGTCGTCGTCTCCGAGTAGTCCGCCATTGACGGATCAGATGTGTATGTAGAGACTACGGAGAGAAAGATAGGTATATATTTATATATATATATATATATATATATATATAGAAAGAGAGAGAGGGTTTTTTAGTAGGAGCACTGTTGGCCCGAATCTCTAGATATCATAATACAGGTGTGATATATATTACTGTAGTATTTATGTATATTACTGTAATCTAACGGTTAGAAGCAGTGAAATGTTGGAAATTAGTTTAAAAATTAAAACACATCAAAGGGGTGTGTTTTAAAAGTTGAATTTAGCTTCAAAATGATTTTTACATTTTGGAGTTGGCGTAAAAAAAATAAATAAATAAAAAACGTTAGAAACATTTTCAAAATCAAAGGAGTGGTGTAAATTTTGACTTGCATTTATATCTTTTTGACTAGAAATTATTGATACGTATGATGATGACCACTTATTACAGGAAAAAGGAAAAACAAAGAGAAAATTAATAATTATTCCCAATCTACCTACCTCATTGGCCATAAAGGGTGCACCCCAGTTTCTTCTAGTGGGCTTAATGGTATTGTATAAGTGTAACGGGTGGGCGCTTACCCATTTACCCAAAAGCTCGAACTGTTAGGTAAGGCTGCATACCCACCCATTTATACCCAATCTCTTTCCCATCCGATTCCGATGTGGGACAAATGACCCTTGTTACATTCTCCCCCACCCAAACTCGCAACGCCCTCGTTGCGGTTGGGCCACCCTGCCTACCCGGGTGGACTCACCCGGACGCCTTCCGGGCCGGGCGCTTGGCGTGGCACCGGATCAAGGACTGGGTTTGGCTCTGATACCAACTGTAACGGGTGGGCGCTTACCCATTTACCCAAAAGCTCGAACTGTTAGGTAAGGCTGCATACCCACCCATTTATACCCAATCTCTTTCCCATCCGATTCCGATGTGGGACAAATGACCCTTGTTACAATAAGGCAGTTCGATCTTGTGCATTTTTCTTATATATATATTTTAATGGTTATAAGATTTGATAATTTGATCTAAGATTTGATGATTTGATTCTTATCCAAAGTTCATAATATCTTATCCAATGTTACTTGTTTTGCAGGCATCTACCACCTTTCAGGGGCCACCCATTCAACATTCAGCTTTGGAACAGGTTGTTATTGTATTGGCGGCTGTATAGAATATAAATTAAATTATTGGAATACAAACCAACCAAATGGTGAAATGGGATATATATATATAGTTGTTTGGTTGTTGTAAAATATTTATGAAAAAAAAATATTAAAATTTAATAAAAATAATTTACTCATTAGTTTTCGATAAGTTATTTTACACTCCTGTGTGATAGGCTCGATTTCAATCTCGACTTAAATAATATATATATTTATATAACTTTAAAATATATATTTTACATCAAAACAAAACCTAAATTGAAAATTCCAATTCTATTTTTCTGAAGTAAAATATCCGCTATAATTGCAAACCTTAGTAAATAAAGTCTTTTTTTGTCATCATTTTCTAACTTCTTAATCTAATTTTTCTCTGTTACATTTTCAAGAGTATATTTCTAGTTTCTAAAACTATTTAAGAACATAGTAATAATAATAATAATACAATATGCTAACAAGGAAAATGATATTGTTTTATTAATATATAATAAGGTTTAATGCTTGAAAAACAATATATAACAGTAGTTTAATTTGATGCAAGCCAATCCATCAAATCAAAACAATTATGTATTATTTAAGCCTATTCCTAGCACAAGTTGAAAATGAATTGAATCCAGCCGAGTTTTAAGTTGTTTGAATCCAGCTCCTCAAAGCAAAAGAGTTTTCGGGCTTGCCTCATGAGTATACGCAAAAGTTTATTATTTCACTGGGCTAGCTTTTTGGCCCATTATGGGAATGTAGACCCCTAAATTCTGCCATTGGTATGGTACAAATATTTTGATGGTGATTAAAACTCCCATTTAGTCACTAAGTCACATAATCCTGATTTCGTTCTTCCGTTTCGAGCATGCTCTTGTTCTTAGGCTCTGTACGCCCTCCCACTTAAATTCTCACTATTTATGACATAACTTTGCCACTCTCACGCTTCTACTCCTGAATTCGCTCTCGTTCCCGTTTTATGTGACTTAGTTTAGGCATATTTTTTTGGAAATTTTTTTTTTTTTTTTTTGGTGTTTGGGAAATGTTTAGGTTGATGTTGAGGTCGAGTCCATCGGACGGGATATATAAAATAACTTGCCGAAAATCGATAGGTAAGTTGTTTTTATTAAGTTTTAATATTTTTTCTTCGTAAATATTTTTCGATAACCAAACATTAGGAAAAAAAATTCTAAAAAATATTTTACATCTAAACAAATATAATAGACAAAAAAAAAAAAAAAAAAAAATATCACATTTTGTTAATGTTGAGTCACAATATTTATGACACAGGTTACAAAGGGTAATTATTTCATTTTGAGCAAGCCAACTAAAAGGATAGGTGTTAGAGATTTTTTTGTCCCTATATCCTGGGGCAGAGCTAGAAATTCGTTTTGGGGCCTGGGGGGAGGGGAGGGGAGCCGTATTAAAGAGGATAAATTATATTTTTTTTCAAGCTAATAGTGTTGCAAGATAATAAGCCGAAAAATAGAACTGTAATGATAGTGAAATAATAGCATTTAATAATTTGAAAACAATTATTTTTTTAAAAAAAAGATGGAAACATAAAATACCGACCTTTTAGCAACAAATTTATTTTGCAAACTTTGAAGGTAAAAAAAATATAGTTTGAATAAAAGAATGCAATTTTTTTTTTTTTTTTTTTTTTTTTTTTTGAAGAGAATATAAAAAAGAAGAAGAAGAAGAAGAGGAGTAAGAATGAAAAGAAAGAAAAAATTAAATCGATTTTTAGAAAAATAATTATTTTAGTGGGCATTTTTATAAAATTTTATAAATTATAGGCGTATTTGTAATAAAATTTAACTGGCCCAGGTGTAAATAATTATTTCAAGGGTCATTTTTCACTTTTTTATAAATTAATGACAAGGGGTAAAGAGGTTTTCTAGAAAAAAAATTATTTTAAGGGGACATTTTGAAAACTTTCAAAAGTCATAAGGTCAATTTGTAATTAAAATTAATAGGCCAGCATGGACCCGGGGGGCTTGGGCTCCCAGGGCCTATGCTGGCTCCGCCACTGCCTATATCTACATGGAGAAATTACAAATTTTTATAAGTAGATATGAAACATAATTCAATAATTTAAACTTTTAAGTTAAATAATAAACTATTGACCTTCACATTTGGTATCAAAAATTTAAAGATCAAGATATATTCCATGCGTAAGTGCACGCTCCAGAGGTGTCTGAGTATTCCATGCGTAAGTGCACGCTCCAGAGGTGTCCCAGTCTCTCACGAGTAGGTAGGGTATCTGGGTCTGTTGTAATCACCCTTTCTTTTTTTTTTTTTCTTTTATATATATATATATATATATATATATCAAATTTACAATGTTAGGAATCAAATTTCACGGCCATTATGATATCCAAGGTCGTTAAAAGAGCATGCTACTACGTGTACACGTGACAATTGAGAGGTGCACAATTTAGGCGTCAAAAACTTGTCCTATGCTAATTTATCAGTATTTGGTGCCCTAACATTCATGTGAACAGGTAACCTAGCTTTGGATCTTGGAATTTACACATAGCAAAGGAGGATATGTGAGTGATCAACCTTTGTCCTTTTCAAGAAGGGAGGGACTTATCAAGTAACAGTATTCTCAGATATCTTGGTCAATTTACAGAAAATTGTGGTCATGTTATACCTAAATCAATTGTTTGACTCTCCTATCGTGTAGGCTAGGTAATCCTATTCCTATATTTCTCTCTCCCTATATACACACATTATATTTTATCTTATCAACTGGTTCGTAATTCTTTTTTAAGAGTTCGAAATCGTTATACACCTTCATAAAACAGTCTGTTTGATTGATTTATACTAATATTCCTCCAAATTTATTACACCACGATCAAACACCACTATCGCAATCGATATTGCAATTGCGAATTATGATACGCACCTAACGCTATTGTACGGTAGTATTTCATATTTAGGTTTGAATTTATTATATTCCCTCTTTAGTGTTACTTATAGCATCAGTAATTGACTTCAGTAGGTTGGGTTTTGCACTTCATTATTAAATAATATCGGTTAGACTAGTAATGCTAACATTTTAACACTTCAATCAATGTCATAGCCTTCACTAATTAGCATTAGTAAACTAATTGACATCTAAAAGGCCTTTTGCCTTAATGAGAAAGATGGTACAATTTTCTTCACTTGTAGCTATGATATGTAGTAGGTGGCTTTCAAAAAGTAATCATATCATTAAAGAACCAGAAACATCTAATGGAGGTTTTCTCGAGTCAAATTCAATGCGAACCTAAAAGAAAGTCATTTTCTGGTTGGACTAAACATCACTTGGAAAAAAAAAAAGAAAAAAAAAAGGTCAAGAACTCTCAAGCCTCCATCAGTTAGGGAGTGTTTAGTAACTTAATATATATATATATATATATTCAAGGTGTCGGATCTGTTAAACTATTTCATAATTTACTATAGAGGCATACATCTTTCTTGTCTCGCATGCACTAGACAATTATCATGAAAATTTTCTGAAAGTGATCCAGAAAATTTGAACTTCCGATCTCCAAGATGCAATGTGAGAATCTTTGCTAATTTTTCAGTCTTATAACACATTGACTCTCTAGATATACATACTCTAGTTTCTTGATGCCTATTGAATGGGAATGAACTATATTATGATCTATGAAAGGGATTAGCATGACTATTCAAAACATTCTTCAGATCTCTATATAATAAATTTTACATATTATAAAATTCAGTGGGACTCTTGAACTTATCTTAATTTGTTGTCAAGATAAGCTTTTATGACACTGATATGTGTCATGTGATATGCTTTTGGTGACCCTCTAGTGAAGTGAAAGCACAAGTTTGTGTCTTATACTATATGCATGATTCCTTTGTAGACTTTTTGACACCACTCAATTTTTTGTGGGCCAAGAGCAACACATTCTAGATTTCGTTGAATTCAGATAAAGCCCAATTGCTGATCGAAGCTTTCAGTATCAAATCCACTTGATTAAACAAAAAGAGCCGACAAATTACGGATTAAGACACCATCAACATGATTGATTAGTGCACTTCCCCTTTAAATCAATAATTAAGTATGGAAATGATTCAACGTGCATAGGTCGGTCACAGCAACTTGAGTTATGAGTGAAACGGGGGCAGCGTCCGTTTTGTATGACCAGTTTGAATTGGGACCAGGAGAGGATCCCCTCCTAGTTCAAGGGGTCCTGCGCATAGTGTCATGCATCAAGTTAACGATACGTACACACGGACCTCAAAACAGGGCTGCAGGAATTCGCAACACACAAAATAGGCGCTGGATTCTGTGTTAAAATTATGTATTTTGACAATCGATTGTTGTGTAGCCTAATAGTACTTCCTCACTTTTTAAATAAAAGATTGAGGGTTCAAGTCTTTATAGGGTGGGTTTTGAGTTCTGTATCTGTGCTAAAATTACTGGTGACCTATAACTATGTAACTTAATGGTACTTTCTCACCTTTCAAATAAAATATTGAGAGTTTTAAGTCTTCATAGATCGAAAGGTTGATAATTCAAGTCTCCATGAAACGTGTGGGAGTGTGAATTTTTTGTCCAAAAAAAGAAAAAAAAAAAAAAATAGTATATATTTTGGTGCTCCACTTCCTTTGAATTGAGACTTTATGATGAGAAAGGGAAGAGCAGCAAGTCAATCAATCATGGGGTAGAATTCCCCAAAATCAATTCTTCATGGAGTAATTGAATATCAGGAAATGAACCAAAAAAAATAAAATAAAATAAGGAAAAAAAAGGAGTAATTGAATACTATAACCCATAAAAGTCAATTGAAAGTCATATACTACAATCAAAGGTAGGTGGTTATCTTGTAGGCTGCAGGTATAATATAATCAGCAATTAATATGCAAACCATTCATTGTATCATAATTACTGAAGATGCTTACCCTTTTATTGATACAAACAAACACAGCCAACCAATTTCAACTTTTACACACATGGGGATGTATGGTATGGTATGAACTGTCAAAAAGGCAAAAGATCGTATATTACATCACACACCAACCACATTATTCTTTCTCTCTCTAAATTTACTCAATAAATGATGGATGAACATATATATAAGCAGAAAGATGCCACTGGCCATATCCCAGAGAATGCATTCATATATCAAAATTAGCGATTCAACCTTTACTCCAAACCCAACGGTTCTGACCCACATCTTCAAGTGCCAACCACTGAATCTGACCCACCTTCCAAAGTGAGGCACACTACTTTAGCTTTATAGAAAAGGCTTCTCCATCTTGTCTTCTCCTCACTCCATAGTTGTCCCTGAAGAAGGATTATTAGCAACAATTTGGTAATCATCTCCATTGTCGTCGTCGTCATCTCCATCTTCATCATCTTCTTGATTCTGATCAACATTTTCGCTACCACCATCTTCTGTGATCGATTCATCGCGTTGTTGTTGCTGTTGCTGCGGTTCTTGATGGCCCATCATTTGCAATAATATGTCTTCAGGCTTCAAGTTATAACCTGAGCTATCTGAATTATCAACCCTCTTGGACTTCTGCTCATAGAGAGACTCAAGCATGTGAAAATAAGGACATGTTTTTGAATCTTCAGGCCTTTTCTTATTGCTTTCTCTTACCCTCTTGAAGTACTTGTTTATATTCTCCCATTTCTCTTTACACCTCTTCGCGCTTCGGTCATAACCAATCTTCTTCATGGCTGATGAAATCTCCTCCCAAAGAGGCCCTTTAGGTCCATTGTCTTGATATTGCAAGTCAAGATTGGTCCTAAGCCTAATCAAAGCCTCAACTTCCGCCTTAGGCCACCGAGAGGGGCTCGCCTGAAAAGAGTTTTCCCCTACATTGTTCTCTTGTCTTTCAACAAGTTTCTCCGATATTGGAGTGGGGTTTTCGGGGGGCAATTGCACCGGGCTATCTTGCTCTGAGATCTTCTTCAATAATGCAACTAGGGCAGCATCCTTTGCCGCGGCAACAGCTCTTCCATGGGCTAGCATCTCCTGTTCTCTCTTCATTCGAGCCAATTCTTGCATCTTCCACGCTTCTTCTCTCGCTATCCGATCATTTTCACATTTTTCTAATGCTTCAATGAACTTGTTTTGCAAATCCTCTTGCTTCTCCAATACTGACTTCATTAGTCTCTCGAAGTAATCCGCCATTTTTCTCTTTCTTTTACCCGTGCCTTGGGATTCTTTCCCCGAGGAAGAGGTTGTGGATGTGGAGGTGGACATGAATTCTAGGTTGGGGGTTTGGATAGAACAAGTTGCTATACCTTGAGAAACATTCATGGGTTTTAACATTTCCATCCTAGTACTCACCATCGCGGCCATTTCCATTGTTGTCTCCGTCATAGAAGATACAATTTTGTTCTCTGAAGGCGATGGAAGTGAGGATTGATTATCGAAAAGCTCTAATTGCTCGAAAAAACGGTAACTTTTGCCATTTTGTCTACCAGATCGGCCTTCTTTGGTTCTCTTGTGGTACTTATAGATGTTCTCGAACTTCTCTTTGCATTTCTTGGCGCTTCGATGGTATCCAAGCTCAGCTAATTTCCTGATAACAACAGTTCCCAAAAACTCCATTTGCAGTCCTTTTCCAACTTCAAAATTACCATAAATGCAATATATAGATATCTATATATATATTTAAACACGCACAGTACAAATTACAACCATAAACTCTGATCTCATGAAGAAATGAGAACAAAGTTGAGACTTGTAAGTAAAAGTAATTTGAAAGATGAAAAGGGGTGGGAAAAAAATAATTAAATTCATGGAATATTAATAAAACGAAGTGATTTTTTCTTCTGGGAAATTTGATCATACAGGTGAAACTCAATTTGGAGTAAGAAACAAATGAATTCATCTTCCGAATCCTAAAATTTCTGTAATTCTTTCAGGTGACACAGATATATATATATATATATATATATATATATAGAAACATGTGTAGATGGACAAAAACGGAAACTTTCACTCTCTCTCTCTCTATAACCAGCAGTTAACCAAAACTAAACAAGAAATGAGAGGAAATGAATCGAAATCCTTACCGAGAAACCTCGTCCCAGAGAGGAGCTTTGACAGCTGAGTCCCGAAACGCAACGTCCATATCAGACCTTATCTTCAAGAGAGCAAGCGTTTCTTCACGAGGCCACCGGTTACCGGCGAAATTCCGGTCACCCTCTTCCTCTCTCCCTCTCTCTTCATCTCCAAAACCACCTGAAACTGACCCACCACCACTACCCACCTCGTTTTTCAGATTCACGACGGCGGCAGAAGCGGTGCCGCCACCGGAACCAGAAGGAGAATTTCCCAACAGTTCTGTAGCCCCCAGCATCAGTTCACTTTGGTAATTACAGCTGCAAAATTGAACAAAAGATTGGGTGAATTTGACGATTGTTTGATTGGGCTGTGGTAAATTTGATGGGTTTGAGTTTGGGCTTTTCTTTCTTGCTTTCTCACCACTTGTTTTTTAATTGGCTTAAGTAACAAAAAAAGATGTGAATTAGGGTTTCTTTTAAGGGGAAGATAAAGATAAAGAGTTGTGATCATGTAGGGTCAAGATTGATGGGTTCAGATGACATGTAAGGATTTGTTTGGTTAGGTAAAAGTATTTTTTTTTGTCTCTCCTCTTTGACTTTGCTTTTTGAGCCCAATAAAGCTTTGACAGTTCAACAAGTTGAAAATGAGGGACTGGTCTGAAAATTTTGAAAAAGTAAAGGGTCAAAAAGGGTAAGAAAGATTAAAAGATGGTGAGATTAGTCATTGAAGGATTGCCAAACAGGTGTAAGATATGACTTGCGAGGGCATGACATATAAACAAGTGGTTTTTTGTAATTTTGTGTGCAATGGAGAAATATTTTGTTAGAAGCCGTCCCACGCAGCCCACATTTGGCTTTTGAACATTTTTTCTGTTTTTCCACAAGCTTTGCCTATGATTTATATTACCCAAATTATTAAATATCACTTCTGCCAGAAAAAAAAAAAAAATTTATAAAATATTTCCTCCTTGATTTTACAGCAACCTTGATATTTTGGATGGTGGGCCATTTAGGAAAATGATTTCAATAGAAGAAGTCTATTCAATAGTAGTTTGTATTTATGGGTCAGTTCTTCAAATAATTGAGCTAAACTTGACTATAAATTCAAAATTTATAGTTTGTTGGTGTCTTTTTCTTTTGTAATATGTGATGTTAAGTTTTGAATTTTCTCTTATGCACCGGATGATCCTAATTTTAGAAGAGAGTTGAAATTGTACTGATCTCTATAAAGTATTGTCTAGTGGACAAGATAGATTTTTGATGGGTGAATGAAATTAAGGTTTAAAATTTTGAAACAATAGTGTGTAAATGCATGCTTATTTTATAATTAAAGAACAAAAATGAAAGAGAAATTAAATTTGATATATACTCCAAAATGATATAAGAGCTAAGTTTGAAATGAAAATAAGTATGGTCAAAACTACTGCAAAGTTAATGGGCAAACTCAATTCTCATTTGACTAATCTACCCACTTTACCTACACACCAAGTTAAAATTCACGCAAGAAAGAGAAGGCAAATAGAAAAACATAAAAGTCATTAATGGTGGGTGCTCATTGTCTCACTAATGATCAAAATGATTTTTATATGCATACCATTGGGTATTTTTGTAGTTGTATGGTATTATAATTATGGGCATTGAGATAATCAAGACTACTACACCAACACATTGATTAACAAAGTGTTTTTACTCATTCTTAAAGAAGAAGAGAGTGGTTCGGGCTAGAGTATAGACAAAGCGTGTGTGAGTACTTGTAGTATATGTGTGATTAATTACTAGCCTATGTGGCCAAGTGAAAAAACATTGGCACACATACGTGGCACATTGAAAATTCAAACAATGAGCTCATTGAAAAGTCAAACAAAGAACTTGCTGTAAATAAAATGAATCTTCATGGGGTTACCAAAAACACTGTACTACACTAGGTCACAAAAAACTTGATAGGCATCGATTTCAAGTTGTCAAACCACCAGGTCACTCAAAACTCAAAAGGTTTCGCCCTCGAAATTACCAAACACTAGCGCTACATTAGGTCACTTAAAACTCGAAAGGCATTGCCCTTGAGTTGTCAAACCCTGGTGCCACACCACGTCACCCAAACTCAACAAATCTGACCATCGAATCACTCGAAAGGCATTGCCTTCGAGATCACCAAACTCTAGCACTAAAACAGGTAACTTAAAACTCAAAAAGGCATCGCCCTCGAGTTATCAAACCTTGGTGTCACACCAGGTTACTCAAAATCACCAAATCTGGCCATTGAATCACGACGTTGGCAAGGTCGCTAAAGAATACCGGATAGCAAAAAATTTACGTTCAAGCAAATTGAGATAAGGGTTGGGCCTTCTCGATACCTTGACAAACCCTTTTGGGATACTTAAAAGGATATTGGAATGGTGGATGAGAAACTAGTACTTACTCTACAAACGAGTCTGGTTAGTGAGATGGTGGATGTACGCTGTGATGGAGAAACTTAGCATCACATTTAATGCTCGGACAAAATCATAATTAACGTGGCTACCGCTGGTTATATATAGACAAAACACATTTAATGTAAAGAAAAATATATCTAGCAGATTCGATGAGAGTAAGTGACTTCTTAGAGCCTTAGGGACATCGCGACTACTCATATAGCAATAACGTATGACAGGGATAACTGAGTAATATCCGAGATATATGAGGCCTATAAATAAGATCCCTATGACATACATACACATCCCTACCTCCACTAATACACTGACTAGCCAACCAGTTTCTCCTCCTCCTTCCAGTTCTCTCTTTGGATATTTCATTTTTGTGTTTATTGATAGGAAAATGATTTTTGCATCGAATAGTTGCGATGAGTTGCTAGACATACTCTTTTAATTTGTTAATTGTACAACAAATAAGGAAGTGGAGCCTAGTTGTATTTAGTATAAATAGGCAAGTAAAAATTATTCGATTAAATAATTTAGGAACCTAGTTGTATTTGGTATAAATAGACAAGTAAAAATTATTCGATTAAATAATTTACTACAAGTGTTCGGTGTGAGTATCATTACTCTTATTAATATTACCTTTATATATTTATTATTGTGTTACAAATTGACCCTTACATGTAATAATATATCACGTTATTTTATTTAATAAAATGTGATTTTTTTTTTTCCTTCAATTAATCACCGTCATCTCTATCATGCTCAGTCTCTCAATCTCAGGTCGAGAGGTGAATCCTCGAGAAGACTTTTTAAATTTCAAAATCTACCATCAACAAACTCCAAAAAAAAAAAAAAAAAAAAAAAAAGAAGAAGGTCAAAAATTATTTTAACTTTGGTAGGCCTTGGATATTTATGCAGAAGTCAAAGATGTTTGGCTGGCTAAGCCCTTAATCACAGAGTTATTAATAAATAATAGATAAAGACTTTGAGGAATTGGTTTACGTAATGTGAATGTGAAGGTGTCATTTTCACGGACTATGAACCACAAGAGAGCAAGTGTGCTATTGCAACTAATTAAATTACATTTCAACTTCAACCACATGGGTTAATATCTCGCTGTCTCCAACTCAGAATCTTCTCCAGTATACTCTGCCCAATTGTGTGTATTTTAATGGAAAATTCAATGCACTCCATGGAAGAAATAACACTTGTGTAATTCTTATACAAACACGCATGGGACACGCATTTATTTTGAAGTGTAATTTTTTAAGGAATATTTTATAGATTCAGGTAACCGTTCTTTAAAAATTAAAACTGGAATTGAGATCGTCGGCACATGAAATTAAATAGTAAAAGACTGATTCAATTCAGTTTCGAATCACTTTAAATATATTGGAAAATAATATGGTATTATAGTAATCGATAAATCAACCAACAAAGTAATATGACACAATGTCTTTTGAAATCTAATATTATAATATACATTAACATTATTAAATAAAAAATAAAATATTTTTTACATTGTTTTTACCCTCACCTTTTTACATTGTTGTTGAATCTTCAATTCAAAATAGTACTGCTTGTTAACATCTCAAATTAATTCCATGAAAACGGACCATACACGAAAGTGATTCCTAGTGTTCCACACACAACTACAGTGGGACTACAAGTGATTTTGACCAGCCATTTTTATGGACTTTTTTATTCTTTACCTCCCACTCCTCCTCGTTTCTAAATATCTTATATACCTTTCTTCCATAAAGAGATTCATTTGGCTTGAAAATATCATTTTCATCTTTACTACCACACTATTTTCCTTTTCTTCATGTTTTTGGTTGCAAGTAATGAAATGTAAGATTGCTACGCAAATGAGAAATAATTTAGTCAGATTCTCAGCACTAAATCATCATGGAGCAGCCGATTTCAATAATTTTAATGTTTGACCAAACAAGTTTTATGTTATGGGATTTTTTTTTTCATGTGATATTCTTACGTTTTCAACCACTAGTGATTTAATCAGTATCACATTCGTTTTTGTAAATGATTGACCAACTAACAAACATGCTAGCTGTAATGCATTTTTTTGAATGTGGTGCTGTTAATACAGTTTAATTATATGATTAGAGAAAATTATAAGGGGTTAATACGATTACTGAATGCACAACAAAGGAAGTTCATTTAAAGTAAAATCAAAGAGCCCATTTTAAAGCCCGTAGTCAGATCCTTTAAGAGGCCTAAGTGGTTGGGCTTTGAGAGGCCGAAACACCCAACTGGAGGGTAGGTCAAGCCCAGCCTGTTAGTGTATAGGGAACTACTCTCACATGTTCTCAACTTATGCAAAAGTAAGCTACCAAAAAAACACTCTTACCCTCTTCCTCCTAAAATTATTGGTTACCAAAAATATTCCTCCGAGAGTGCTTAATTTTGAACAGATTAAACAAATTAAGTGTGTTTAATAACGAAATTTAAATATCATTAAGAATGATAAGCGTGACTTGTAACTAAGAAAGAAATTTAAGTGGCAAGAACATCACTTATTAAAAAAATTTAAAAAAAATTATTTTTGATTACAACTTAAAATTCAATTACAACAACTTGATTTTACTAACTATACAACCAACTTGATGAAGGTATTAGTGCCTAAGATAAGTACTTAGAAAAAAGGTCCAATTATTTTTATAAGTTGACAAAAATTCTTATTGGACTCTACTTAGAAAAAAAATATATCGGGTGATCACAGCATACCACCAACCGAAGTCATTGTAATTTGGTATGCCACCCAATTAACATGCTGCACTTAAAAAATTGAGTAGCTATAGAAAAATTCATGATTTATCCCCTGTATAAGTATAGAATCTGATTTATTTATTTATTTATTTATTTTTTGTCAATTGCTTATGCAGCTTTCCAAAAATATAATAATAATTGTTCAACAAATATAAAGACAAGTATACTCTCAATATTAAATAGTATTTTCATTTTATACCCTTCGTTTTCTCTCCCTAAGATTCACTAATGTCTCTAGTATAAATCATTATTGCTCTCTCTAAAATTCTCATTAACTTTTTCTCTCTAAAAGTTTACCAATCTCTCTCTATTTGTCATTCTCTTCATTTTCTTTCTAAGATTTAGGTCTGAAATTTTCATTCACTTTCTACCTCTATCATTTGAAATTCTCTTCACTTTCTCTTTCTACTATCTGAAATTCTCTAAAATTCTCTCTTCTCCGTCTCTCTGAAACTCTTGTCTTCTCTCTTTAAAAATTAACATCTTTCTTTGATTTCTCTTCACTTTCTCTCCCTCTAAGATTTGGGTCTAAATTTTTTTTTTCTCCATCTCTGTGAAATTACTTTTTATCTCTCTAAAAATTGACCCATATTTCTCTCTGAAAAGATTATTCACAACGAGATTTCAGGAGTCAAATTGTAAATTGCTAATTCAAAATTAAGATTGCACAAATTAAAATAGAAAACTGAAATAGAGAGAAAGTGAATCAAATTAGAATTTCAAGATTGTCCCAGTCGCATGGAGATGGAAAACTTTCATAAATATAATTTTATGTGAGTGTATATATATATATATAGGTGGTTATGATAAGAACATAAAACACCTTCCTTCTACTTATATTTCCAAGCAATTTATTTCCCATTCAGTTTTGGCATGCAACATGTACCATTAGGATGGTTAAAGAATGGAAAGAATTTACACGGTCAATTCACATCAGATTTTGTGAAAATTTTGAAATTAATAATCGGTTGCCCTATCATTATTTTAAAAAATTTGGTCCCATATAGTTGTGAAAATTCAACTACAACCAATGAATAATCACATAAGAAAACAAGAAAATCTAATGTGGTTGACAAAATGCTGATTTTTATAAATTTAAAATGATGATTTTTATAGTGAAAGTTTTCGAAATAATAAGTGATCACATGCACCAAAAAGGTAATTGTACTTTCCTCACTCGGATAGGATTGGGCCGCCTACCATTATTGCAGAGGAGCCCAAACAGAATCTCCAAGCTGTATTAATGGTTGGTGGGCTAGGACTGCATTAGAATATATAGAGAAAGAGTTAGAATATATAGAGAAAGAGAAAGAGAAAGAGAAAGAGAGAGAGTGTTTGAGAGAGAGAGGAAAAGATGGGGTTGACGAAGGCGGAGGTTGAAACTTCACTGACATCAAAGCTGAATCCCTCTTATCTCGTAAGTTATACTATATTTTTATTATTAAATTTTTTCTTTTTGTTTCATTGCACTCTTACTCTCTATTTTGAGTTTGTCCATCATCAGAACACCATCAAACTCAGAGCAACTAAAACATTAAGGTCTATAGGTTGAATGTTTGGGTAAAATTGATGTCAAATACGAGTAAATTCCTAATGGTTAATAATTTTTCTCTGACTGATTCGTGGAACTGATGAGCTGAATATTAGGGTTAACCATTAAGCGAAGCACACAAAATCCAATTTGCAATAGTCAAAGCTGTATATTAGGGATTATGGATGAATTGAAATTCACAAGCAGTTTAACATCATGGACAATTTTCTTGATGGGTTGGTTATGTGTGCAAGGATTATGGGAGTTTATTTATTTTTAACCTGGCAATGGTTAGAGAGTTAGGAGTCAGTGGGATTAGGGGTAAGGGGATTCGAACATAGGACCATAGGCTTAGGGGCACTTAATGCCTGACTCTTTACTACTCTGGCAACACAGTCACACCTAGAGTTTTGGTATTTAAGGATGTTGAACATGGGAAACTCTATCATTGATATATCAGAATAATATTTAAGTGAAAATAGAAGGGTGGATAGTGGAAGATAATAAATTTAAATCAACTTTCAACTGAACATTCACAAGATTATAATTTCTTGATGGGTTTATTATGTGTGCATGGTTAAGCAGTGGAGTGGTTATTAGAGTTCTTTTTTTTTGTTTTTTTTTTAATCATGTGAGCCACTAACTCCTTGATTTTATTGTAAGAATTGTTATAGAGTGGTATACTAGGACTTTAATTGTCATTATTCATGATCGTGATGTTTTATTGTTGGTGGCCCTTTTGCTCATAGAGTTGTAATTTTCCATGATACTACAATGGTAAGAAGATTTGAGGATAAGAGGCAAGGTTGTTTTTTCCAATCTATCCTCTCCTCCTTTTTCTAAATCTTCTTCTTTTCAGTGTTGGGATTATTTCTTAAGGATTGAATTTATGCTAACAATCCCTTATAAAGGAAAAGGGAAGAAAATATTTCATGCTGTCCAAAATCCATTATGTTGCATTTTTATATAGTTATGCAGTTATTCTAACCATGTCATATTGAGATTCAGGGTAAGAATATTCCATCAACTTGTCCAGAAGAATATTGCATCTACTTGTCTCTTATCATAATTGCAATATACTTTTGTCTTGCATTCTAGGTAACATTTACAGCCTCCTCTCATGTGTAGTTATTAGAAACATGCTAGTGATGCCATATATTTTTTTTTTTTTACTCGAACGATTTCTATGTTTTTATATATGTACCAAGGGGAATGCATTTCCTGTTTTCTTTACTCAAATTTATTTCCTATTTTATTGTGTTTATGAAGTTTATTGTAATTGAAATTTTCTGTTTAGTTTAGTTACTTATTATATCCTTATAAGAAATTATGCTTAGTTTATAAGTCACTTTATTGTTTCATTTCTTCTTTTTTCTTAAGTAGTTAAATGTTCTTATGATCATATTTACATTTTATAAATTCTTTCTATTTTTTATTTTTCAAAATTACTATGATTTTTTTATATATAATACAAAGCAATTGGTATTTGGTTCCTCAAGACATTCCTGTTGATCCTATCTAGATCATTAATTTGTTTGGGTTAGATGAAATCTGTTGACTATAACATGATTCCCTATTTGAGAATTGTTGACAAAGTTAACTAGTGGATGGTACTAGCTTAATTTTCTATGCAATTAGGAAGCAGTAAAATCAAAATATAGGTACATACTTTCCCAGTAGTGATATTTCTTTATGGATTTTTCCATGAGTAGCATCAAGGGCTAAAATTTCTGAATCAGTTTTCTTGTTCAATTTCTTGTTCAGAAATAAGTTTTTGGATTCCTAGTTCACTTATTTCTGTAACTTGCTCCTGAATAGATGCCAAGAAATTCTTCATAATTTATCATTCAAATCAGATAGTTATCCATCATGATTAGAGGCACACTTTTTTCTCTTACTTAAGGTGATGATCTTAGGAACACTAGCTTGAGATCTGGTCTGACAACTTCTAAAAAGTATGAATTGCACTCTTGATTGAGGTTCAAGGGGGTTTCCCTTATTTCTGGTTGTAGCAAAAAACTACTTGGAAGGGTCCTAGCTTTAAATTTAAAACTTAAGGTTTATGGATGCCAGAAGGGCAACACCGATCTCAAGCATTATGGGTTGCCAATTTATAAAATTGCTAGGATGCTCTTGTTTCTTTACATATAGCTCTTCCATACCGAGTCATTTTTTATTTGATTTTCTTTGTCAAACAACTACATAGTCTAGAGGGGTGGTCCTGGCTCATTGTCTTATTCTATGCAATGGAATTACTTCTCTTAAAAAACCTGGATATACGTAGGATTTAATATGAAGCATCCAGTGATTACTATATTTTCAATTGATCAGAACAATTGCATATCTATGCTTTGAGGTCTTTTCAGTTTGTAAAAACTACCATGTGGCAGTTTAATAGCTTGCATGAAACCTATTTCTTGGAGGACTGTATTGGTCTTAGATATTTCAAGAGAAGATAAAAGATCAGTTACTGCCCATGTGGGATGCTAGGAATGGAAAAATGAAAACAAACGAACTTCTGGTATTGTTTTGCAAAAAAAGTGACTGCTCTCATACTTGAACTCACTTCTTCATGCTTGTTAGACCATGTTTTTGGCATTATCTAAATTTCAAGCGAAGTATTATCTAGAACCTACAATTCTTGCATTGTATTCTCATTTTCGTTTTGTTTTGAGAAATTGAAATCTATAAAGGTAGAGCATAGATCCTCCGCCATTAGTATTTTTTGTTCTGTAAGGGTCTTTTCATAATATTATTTTTAGTTTTCATGTTGGAGACAGTATAGCCTTGCATGTCATCCCTTGATTCAAACCTCCTCCTGTCTCTTTCTTACCATAGACAAACAAATGAAGGTAACTATGGGGCTAAGTGCACTAAATATGACAGCAAAGTTCATATTTTTAACCTTTTAAAGTTTAGTATCCCCTTAAACTCGCTTCTGTATTCATCCTTAACATTTTTCTTGTCACCCTTAGTAAATGCAAATACCTTTCACTCCCTTTCTTTGTGAATTGATCTTTTCTTTTTCTTTTCTTTTTTGTGTTCCAGGAAGTAGTTGATACATCGGGAGGGTAAGTTCCCACTTGGTAAAAGATTCACTCTTCAATTAACAAACATACTCTGGTATTCTTCTTTTCGTAAAATGATTATTATTTTATTTTTTTTATCAGATGTGGTGCTAGTTTTGTGATTGAGATTGTATCAGAACAATTTGAAGGGAAGAGGTTGTTGGAGAGGCATCGATTGGTGAACACTGCATTGACTGAAGAAATGAAAAACATCCATGCTCTTTCTATAAAGAAAGCTCTGACCCCCGAGCAGTGGAAAAAGCAGCAAGAGTCTGAAAAATCTCAATCTGCTTCTTGAAAGATGTTTATAATAATACCAGTAGTTAAGACAAGATTTACCATCACAATACAATCATTCTTGATACAATACTCCTGTGCTGGAAAGCGTTTATTGACATATGTAATCTTGATAGCTTACGTGGTCACTAAGCTTATAACAATATAATCTTTTCCATGTGAATAATGCTGAGGCCAGTTTGGCTTCTCATCTTTGTCTTCAAAGTGGTTTTATATTGCCTAAGATATTTCTCCATAATACTCACTGCAATTCATCCAATCCATTGATGAACACTCCTTTGATACGCCTGTTGACATTGTGATGCAGGCTGTATCTAGTAGTCTGCTTTCCCAGGGTCTTGAGGCAATATAAAGGCCAGATTCTGTATGTGTTTTTTCTGCATGGCAATTCAACATGCTGTTGCTATCACATGGGATTTTCAAAGTTTGCGATTTCCTGCATTTGGTGAATAGTTGGGTTTTGATTATTTGTTCCGTTCCATCTTACCTGTGGCTAATTAGTCATTAAAAATTGTTTGCTATGCTTCTAGTGTTCTTTTATGCATTCAAATTTATGGAAAAAGCCGTCAAGCGGTTTTGGTGAAATAAGCAAAGCAAAATTGAGGGTTAGCAGATCTTAGTGCAGAAGTTTTCTTTCATTGTGACGTACTTTTCCTTTTTTCGTTTTTCCTTCCTATACGAGGATGCAGAGTTAAATGGTCAATTGTAAATGTTTTTCTGGCCACAGCCGAGCTCACAACCTCAATCTTTCATAGTTTTATTTTTTGTTTTCCCCCCAACCCACACCCCATTAAGTCTGCCAAGGGAGGTGGTAGATATCATCCACAGAACAGCGGCCATTTTTGATGAGTTTCAGGATATTTTGGTGAAAGAGAAACGTCTCTCTCCTCCTCCATCTCCAAATAGGGTATGTAAGTGGGAAGCTCCTTATGTGGGTAGCCTGAAACCAAATGTTGACGACTTCTTTCAATCCATCTCTATGGAGGTCTTATTCTGAGGGACTATCTAGGTAGACCGGTTAGATTGGCCACTGTGTTGTGTCCAAAGATTCATCGTGCCCAATGTGTTGAGCACGGTGAATCTGTAGATGTCGAGGGTGATTCTCAGTCAATCATTCTGATGAAGCTGCTCGCACTGTGGTGGAGGATATTTGGATTCTTCAAGAGCAATGCAACGGGCTGTTCTCTTTCCAGGATTCCTAGTCAATTTAATGTTGTTGCCTACTAGATTGCTATATCGGCTTTACAGTGTATAATGTCCAGTGAAATGTTTGGCCCTACTCGCTCATTTCCCTCTGAACGTTCTTTGTCCCACTTTGTTTCTTACTTTTCTACGCTAAAAAAGGAAAAAGTAAAAAAGAAAACGGTGACAATGAAATCTACAAGGGAAAAGGGTTGAACATTGATTCTTACAATTGTCAAAAAAAAAAAAAACATAAATAAATTCTTCTATTTATATGAATAATGGTATTAAGCCTATTTTAACTCAACACTCGAGTGGCTAGGTTGACAAAATAACTCTCGAGTCTCCACCACATGTATTTGAAACCTATCTTGGGAGGCTGGGATATATATATATGTATATTATCTGCTAGAACAAGCAGAAACTCCCACCTCATGTCACGGAGACTTTAAACTATTGCAGTAACGAGTAATGACCACGTGATCACAATAATAGTAAACAATACACACACTGTGACACGAGTACCCAAGTTACAATGCAAACTTAAACTTACTGGCAGACAGAAGTGAACCCACCTCTCTAGGCCATGACTTTGAGCTTCATCTTCCCAACACCCATAGCTCAACAAGATCAGACCCTTTTAAACTAGTGATCCAATCATGGCTACAAAGCTTATCCAACATCCAATCCCAGTTTCCCAACTGGTCCCACCAACACCCAGTATCACCAAGATGACGATGAGAACACTCTCAGCCACTCATCCAAAGAAGCCAAGATTTGGAGATTACATATCTGGGTTCAGACCCATCAAAGTGGCAGAACAAAGCTCTGGTCTTGTTGGAAGTGAATCACCGGTTCTTAGAACACCAACCCAAATCAAAACAGACATTTATGAGGGACTCAAAGGTACACACAATAACTTCAAGAGTTTCAGCTTTGCATTTTATAAATTTTTTTTTTCCCCACCAATTTTTGGCATAAATACTAAGATGGGTGGTATTTTGAACTATCAAAGGGATTAATAGAGGCATTTTTGGAGTCCCATCTGCAAAGAAATCTGAGATTGAAGGTCTGGTCAAGCTACTGGAGTCTCAAAATCAAATTCCAGAACCTACTTTATATCTAGACAAGGTGAAACAATGCTCTATAAATTGAGTTAATGCGATTTGTGGAATTGAATTTAAGATTAGTAGTTACAGAAGATTGAATATTTATTTTCCATTCAATAATTGGAAAGGTGGGTGGATGTTGGAAGCTTGTTTACAGTACAATTACCATTTTGGGATCCAAAAGAACAAAGCTTGGATTGCGAGATTTCATCACTTTGGGAGATTTTTTCCAGACAATTGATGTTGCTGAGGTATAAATAATTCTCAATTCACTTTTTTTAATTTTCTTTTTCTTTAGTTATTTCACTTTTTATTGGCATGATTTTATATTGGAATCATCGTGATTGTATGAGAAGGAATCATCATGATGATAATAACAATCTCTAACATTTGTCATTATTTTGCACAAAGTTCATTTTTTATTAAATTATTTACCTTGTTGCCTTTTCGGTTTGTCTCTTCTTCTTGAGGCATGGAGGTGAATTTCACGAAGTGTTATGATACAAATTTTATTATTTTGGAGTTTTTTATTTATACCCCATATTTGTTTCTGTTTGACTAATTTGCAACATTATGTGATGGGAAAATGGAGGGTAAAGCAGTAAATGTGATAAAGTTCAATATAAGGGGACTGAATTTGTTGAATGGACAGCTGAAAATTGAGGCCACCTTCAAGATTGCATCTAAATCAGTTAAGGGTCAACAACTCTTTTCTCCTTCTCACATTCATGTTTTTTCAAGGTACTAATTGTAATTGTAATTTTTTTTTTTTTTTGTTTCATATCCTACACAGCGAGTCGATATCACTTACAACAACTCAACCATCACTCCCGACCAGGTATGCAATATTCAAAAACACACACACACACACACACAATGAACGAGGTGTGTTTTACTGCTCTTTATAAGCTGCTGAAATTCTTCCATGTTTCTTTTGGAAAACCGATAGTTGATGAATGTTTTTCGGAAAAACTATGACATTCTGCTGAGCATCTTCAATCCAGAGGGGTGGCTGGAGATCACGTATCCTTTTTGGTATCTTGATATTCATTCATTCATTCTATTATCTTCAATATTCAAATGCTACAGAAAGTGTTGTAGTAATTGTTTTCCTTGATTTAGTGTGTTGATAGATATGTTGATGATAGTTTGAGGATAGGAAGGGATGATAAAGGCAATATTTTCATTTTAGAAAGATCAGAAGAAAATCAAACCTAAGGATATCCATTTGTTGCCTTCAATTTCCCAATTGCAGCTCCCATTTTGGAGGATTCATACTGCATCAATTATAAAATTTTGCATGCTAGTATTATTATGTATGTACTGTGCCAAATTTCCATAAATTTAATTAGAGAAGTTACCACTTGCAACCAACATCCTTATGTCACCTCCATAGTCAAAGTTACAATTAATAAAAGAACATATTGGAGAGGCTGCTTCTAAAAGAGGTTTTATGTTAATTTGAAGACACTATTATCAAGTCTCCAAGTGCTTTTGCTAATCCTCAATCCAAAATCACAAGACACGGGCCTCCTAAATATGATTGGTACAAGGGGCAGATATGTAACAAAAGAACATAAATCAGATTTATCAAGCTGGAAAAGAGAGGGAAAAAGAATGACATAAAATAAATGCACCTGTCTATACAAAAAATTAAGAGGGTAGTCGTAACCACCGCCAGAGAATTAAACACAATCAAATGAGGAGAAATTGACCTGCCAATATCAAAATCTGCAGTACTATAAATCGTCAGTTCACCATAAACATCACTCACTGGTAGTTGAGAGTAAACTACTCCAGAAACCAGTTGCTCAACTTAAGTAAAATGAATAAAAAATATCTGGCGAAAAAATTGTGAATACACATTTTGTGGACCAGCTGGGGTGTGTCTATTGGGTAAAATCACATTGCAGAATGAGGGTAGTGTTAATAGAAAGCTCACCATGTAAATTCAAGGCACCGACAGTTCCAATAATACCAGATTGAGAACAGAAAGAATTACATATGTGAAGTCACGGGATGGAATGGGACCAAATTGGAACGGCACATCCATCTATCATGATTGAAAAAGCAGCCATGACAAATTGCACACCGTATGCAAATGATCTTAACTAAACCATTTCAACTTGCATCAATTCTGTATTGGGTCTACATGAAAACTAAAAATTAAAAATTTAAGAGACTAAACTAGATGTATAACACCAATGGCCTTGTCACCAAAATCTAGTTATTTTTTCAGCACCAAGATGACGATTGAAGAATTCCATGCAGAAATCAAGTAACAAAAGAGCTTGAACCAACTAGAATATTACATAATAATAGCTTTTGTCTCAGATATGTATATGTAAGCACATGCAATTAGCATGTAAGTAACCATTCCGCCGCTTTGGCAATTTAAAGTGAGATTATAAGCAGATGTCCAACACCATTGTATTTGAATTTGAAACTTGTTCATTGGACTTTTTAAAGTGAGATTAAAAAGTCCAATGAACAAGTTTCAAATTCAAATACAATGGTGTTGGACATCTGCTTATAATCTCACTTTAAATTGCTTAATAATGTGATACGAGTCCAAATTAATGAAACCATTAACAAATGTCTCTGTTCTGTCCCAAGATGACTGTGTCTAGCTTTCCATCTGGTGCTTAAATCAACCAGGCTTTTCCTCAAAGACGTCAACCTCTGATGAGTACTGGGTTTTTATGTTGGCTTTTGTCTGCCTCCTCCTTGTATTTCTTAGGTGAAATCCTAATTACCAAAGTGGGGAAAATAAAGTGGCTAATCCCCCCCGCGTGGGCGGGCGATTACCAGTATACTACCCCACACCCCCCGCCCCCCGCGTGGGCGGGCGAGCATAAAGATCTAGTAAAGAGAACTCGAAGGCAGGCACAACCGAATCACCACGTATGTGCTGCCAAAAACCAACCTACACAAAACTACAATCCCATCTCCTTTAAAGTGTAAAAAATGGATAATCAAACAAATTACCATTAAATTAAATGTGGTGATATCCAACATGACAGATTGTGTCAAACCCAAAACCCGTGTACATACACTACTAGCAGGATGACCAAGTCCATCATACTTTACAATTGAGATCTTCCAATGATCTTTTCTAGATGTTTGCATATGATCCAGAAAGATCATTGTTCATTCTTTTCACTCCAAGGATTCACCTAAAACATTTTGTTCGACAAAAATAATAATTTAATAAATAAATATATAATAAATCATTTTGTCTAAAATCATACTAAGGCTTTCGAATTTACTTTGTGATCAACCATAATCAATACAAAATAAATACAAGTAGCAATGATGCAAATATTGAAAATATAACCCTCTAACTATTAATTACATAACTACCCGAAGTGTCGGTCTAAGGATCCCGAAGAATCCGCCGAACAAATCAAAGTAATTATTAATTAATAAAAGAGTCTATACTTTTCTCATGCTTAAGAGTCAAATGCCATGACGGTGATAGGGAGTAATTGCATACGACGGCTCTCGCAATATTTCTCAACCTAACGCGGATCCAGTTCAAATCTTAATTAATTATGAGTCCATCCATAATTACCGACTATGAACCATTTATAATTACTATTTATATATCATGCATTGATTGCCATCACATACATATACATAAATATTTCTTGTAATTACATGGACACTATCAATTTCATAGTGAATCGAAATATAATACATTGAATTCACCAATTGTATAAAACATAAATATTTCAGAAACGTCAGGAACATATGTCAATTAATCCAAACATGAATTTGCTATGCCAAGGCATATAAATCCCAACAGCTCCCACTTGCCCTCATAGCCAATTCAAATTGCACCTAACTCCAATGTTATCCAGATGATGATCAAAATTATTGATCAATGACACCTTTGATAATGGATCAACAAAGTTGTGTTCCAATGCAATGTTCTAGCTACAAGTACATTTTCTTGCCGGATAATATCATGTAGAACATAATACTTCCTATCAATGTATTTTGTTCATCTATGGAACCTTGGGTCATTGGTTTGGACTACTTCTGCACTATTGTCGCAATATAGCTCGATAGGCAGGCTAGTATGCTCCACAACCTCTAAATCAGTGAGATCAAACCAATAGGCTTATATTGCCACCTTTAAGGCTGCAATATATTCCACCTGCAGGTTTGAGTCAACAGTTGAAATCTGCTTGACAATTTACCAACTGATTTCCCTTCCATTAAGTGAACATACACTAAGTCATGAACCTCATAGTATCTACTTCTGATTGAAAATCAGAACTAGCATACCTGACTAGGACCATATCATCACATCCATAAATGAGTATGATATCATTGATTCTCCTTAGGTACTTAATGATATTTTTCACAATAAACCAGTTGTCAAGTCCAGTATTGGACTGATCTCTACTGACTATCCCTACTATGTAGCGGATGTCCTGTTCGGTATAGACCATGGCATATATGAGACTATCATATGCCGAAACATATTGTTCCAGTCTCATTTGCACAATCTCCTCTGCTAGTCTTGAAAAACTACTTACTAGAGAGAGCGATCCATATCAATAAAGCAAGAACTCATTCTTTGAGTTATGCATACCAAACCTGGTCAAAACTTTATCAATGTAGGATTATTAAGATAAGCCTATTTTCCTTTTAATCTGATCTTGCAAAAGCTTGATCCTAGGAATATAGCTTACATCTTGAAAATCCTTCATTTAAAAGTAATTGAACAACTACCTTTTAATTGATGACAAAACTTCCACGTCATTATAAATGAGTAGGATGTCATCAATATATAGAATTAAGAAAAATAATGACATTCCCTTGTACACTCATGATTTATTCACTAAGAAATCTTCTGGTATCTTTTTGTAGATTAACTTGCCTTCCATAGGAATCACCCTACTAGAAAGTTCTACAAGATTCCAGAATTTATTAGAATACATAGATTCCAACTTTGATTTCATAGTAACTCACCAAAACGATCTGTATCCACATCGGTTCACGCTTCCGTGTAGCTTACTGGGTCCAACTCATGTTTAACAGGGATGTCCATAATGGTCTCACCTAAAAACATGATTCTGTCGAATTGGATGATAATCCTCCCACTACATCAATGTACCGATGCAAGAATCTGTGTAGTAGATGATGCTAACGCATCAATAGGGAATTCATATATTATTCTCAATCTCTATAATAAGTGTGTTCACATGTGGTACATCTGGTACTCATACCAAATTCTCTAACATTATGCTACTAGGTATGTGATTCATAATATGATTCTTCTATAGATAAACAGTGAGTGAAAACAATCAACTTTTATCTTTGAGATCATAAAATAATCCATCCTAGTGACATTTAGAGTAGCTATCAAATCTAGCATGCCTATGATCTGATTCCAACTTACTTGTCCATATCAAACGCACATGTGCAAGACTACCCCATATGTGCATATGATTCAAACTAATATTTAGTCAAAAACACAGCTCAACGGTATCCTTGAGACAGACTAAGATGGAATGCAGTTCATAATGCGCATCGATGTCATTAACGCTAAACTCTTAAATGAAAGAGATAATATGGCATTACTGATCATAGATCTAACCATGTTAAGTGGAATTCTGTTATTCCTATTTGACACCTAAATTAATTTAGCGTCAATTGCGGAAAACTGGTACACAACACCCTTATTGACCATATAGTCTTTGCACTATTCCAAGAAATACTCAAATACTCGATCAGATCGAAGTGTCTTGATAAGTTTACCTAATCTGTGCTCCACATCAGTCTTGACCCTCTCGGAATATACCAAAAGTATAAGACTTGTGTCGCAACAGGTAAATTTATCCAAAACGTGAGTAATCTTGATTGGATGTTCATAAGACTACACGTGTACGTGTGTACCGACTCCAATTGTTCTTTATGTCTATTTCATTTGGCTGATTAAGCCCTTAGAGTTATCTATCCTTCAAAACAAGATTCACAAGTTTGGTTTAGGCTCCTCTGCCTCACTAGATAATAAACCTTCTTTAACCAATCTTTAAATCTCATTTTGATTGATTACAACCCAAAAATCGACACCAAAAATACAATGAGTCAGGAATAACAAATTTTCTCTTAACATTCAATCTAGAAGATGCAACATTAGTTTCTACATCCTGCAAATCTTAAGAGCTTGTGATTATAGTATATTAACCATCTTTCAATGCACCAGAAGCAATCGCATATCTATTCAATTTTATAAAACCAGTTTTACAAAATAACGATCTAGTTTTTATAAGTCAAAAGTGAAATAAGAATGAGATTGCGTTTCATTTCTGTGCATAAAGATAGTTCTCTAATACTAATATCCTCATACTCTCTAATTTCATATGTAATACTCCCA